CGGCCCCGGCCCGGCCCGGCCCCGCCCCCGGCGGGCTGACACGGCTCTCGGCGGATCGGATCGGGGCTAGACCGGGCCACCTGGCCGCCGCCCGCGCCGGCATCTGGGAGGGAAATGCGGATTCCGCTCCCGCCCCACACGCCGACCTGAGGGAGGGGGATGAAGCCGCAGGCGGCAGGGCACGTGCGTGTCCCCCGGCCGGGCGCCGGACACGGCTCGAGCGGCGCCTGCGGCCCGCTGCCTGAGCTGGCCTAGAGGAGAGCAAAAGGGGGCGCACCGTTAAGGTTTCACAGCTGGAAGGATGAAGGGACGTGGTCAAGCTCTGACCGGGACAGGAACGGGAAACCTGTGAGCCCCTGAGGGACTGTCACCAAACAGGTCACCTCTCTGCTAGGGTGAAGTGACATGCTCAGCGTAGACCATCTTAAGGGCACTTAAAATGTGAGTGCCCACACGCTAAATCTCCTTAACCCATGCCAAGTGCCCGCTGAGCATCTCAAATTCTACCACTCCATGCAAGGGTTAACTCCGGGCTGTGCTACCTAGCTCAGATTAGGGTACCTTCAGTCTGCTCCACATACATCAAAAGGGCAATTTGTAGTCTTCCAGCATCCCAGGATGCACCACTCCCAGCTCCCCTCCCACCCACAGCACCCTGCTCACCATCTCTCTAGTGACAAGTCAGAACCATGGGTGACTGGTACCACCTTAGTTGGGGGGTATGTGCTCCCCACAGCCAATCGCATTGATGGGGAGTGGGGGTACCCCTGTAGCCAATTTGTGAAGCAGCCACAACACTCCCCAAAGTGGCCTCAGCGCTCCCAATCCCCGGCCAGAGCTTGTGGGGGAGAGGGGGCACTGGTGCTCACACCTGCCAGGGGGTGCACCTCCGCATTGCCACTGGTCAGAGTGGTGCGGGCAAGAAACGCTATTAATCCTTAACCTGCAACTGCTCCCAGCACCTTCCAACTTTGACACCATCCAGAGATTTTTAATATGAGCTAAGTGTAATGTGTAACTTCACCACTAATGAGTCACATCAGTGCCAGCTCCAACAGTGTTACTACAATGTGGGGAGGTCTTTCTGGAAAATACCCAACGCAGCCCAGCTCCCGCTGCCAGACATCTTAGAGGGAACCACAGTTGTCAGTCTGTTCCACCACACAATTGCAGCAACCTTATATGGTGCTGTCAGAGAAACGCCATTACCTAGCCAGTGGGATGGGTTTCAACTGGATATGTTTTTCTACTGAGGAGGTATGAGACTCTTAACTTCTAAAGCTATTCTGAAACCAAGTGCGGAATCAGAAGTCTTTGCCTGAGAACAACACTGTATTGTACAGATTGAATGCAAGATCCAAAGCTCATTAACTTCCTTACAGAATCTTTCAAGGAAGAGGTGGGTGAGGTGCTAGAAGTTATTCTTAGTCCAAGGTATCACATACACTCAGACACATTGGCCCAGATTGTCAGCCCTGCTGAGGACGCTTAGTTTCAATGTATAAACACAACATGGCTGTAAACTTCACAGATCCAGCCACTGGAAGATTAGTCCATTAGAACAGTGGTCTCCAAAGTGGGGTGCGCACACCCCAGGGGGTGTGCAAGATGATCCATTGGGGTGCGGGAAGAAAATATTAGAACTTACATTTATATTTATATAAATATACATATATTGGGGGGGTGTGCTCAAAAATTTTTTACTGATAGGGGTGCACGATCAAAAAAGTTTGGAGACCACTGCATTAGAGGATCCCCAACTTGTGCAGATCAGTCTAATTTCTCTAGCAAGTATCCTTTGTTATAAACTCAGCTGTTACAGTCCAAAATCCAAATCTCATACTGGCACAAACATACGGTCTTAAAAGTTCTATTATTTTACTAGAATTTTAAGTTAAACCAACTGGGCAGACAGTCAGCAGTCACTCTTGTTCCTACTTCTTTCTCCAATGGGATATGTCACAGTGCACATGGCATCTAGTAGAGCACAGACACATTCATTTACCTACTACCTTCATGCAGAGGACTTAACATTTCCCTTTACCACTAGTAGTTTATTTACAGAGTAAAGTTGCCGTCAGTGGATCAGGATGGCTCGTAGTGTTATTTGATGATTTTACTGATTTGCTGACATTAGCACTGGCAGCTGATTTGGAAACTGCACTTCAGCAGGCTGTGTTGTCTGGCAAGGCAGAAGTGGTAGCATGAACAGCAGGCTCCTGTAAGAGAGCTTTGGTTGATATTACTGAGCATATGGAATGGGGCCCACACTAATCGCTATGGCCATTAACACTCACTCTGGTGATTTTATCTTCTCATTATCTTTGAGATCAATTTTTGTCCAGAACAATAGCCTATGGCAATGAATTGAAGAGTCGAAATAACATGACACATCAAACCCACAAATGGCACAACAAATTTCACTGACCAGGTTGTTTTGGCAGCATATAATGGAGTAAAATACAGCTTTGACGTGCAATAGGATAATAAGCATTCTTCACTGCAAGTCCAATAGCAAGTGCACAAAGAGCTGCACAAACAGAAAAGACTGGTATGTCCACATCTGCAATTAAATATATTTTAAAAAATAAGATTCAACTGAGCTAGAGAAAAATTAGACTTTTTCAAAGTACCAAAGCTTGTGATGCTTTGCACTGAAGCTGCTCTTTATTCCCTCTGGCTATATAACACAAAGAGAGCTATAGTTCCTGGAGAAGTTATAGAGGGTATAGAGGCAGACAAAAATTATAAGAGCTTGGTAGGCAAGCCATATGAGGTTGAAAGAAACAGGTATGTTCAGCTTGCAGAAAAGACCATTAAGAAGGGGCAGGATAGCAGTCTTCAAATATCTGAAGGGTTGTCATAAAGAAGAGGAAAAACATCTTGTCTCTTGCTGCAAAGAGCATGATGTGGACCAGTGGCTTGAAGTTGCTATAGTAGGCTGGACTGGATACCAGGAAAGACTTCTTCACTGTTAGAACAGTGAAGCAGCAGAATGGACTGCCTAGGGAAATTCTGTAATCTCCATCATTGGTGGTGTTCAAGAAGAGGTTGGATAAGCATTGGTCAGGGATGATCTGGAAACAGCTATGCCTATGGGTATTACCAAAGCTTTTCAGCTTTGCTAGCTGCTGCATGGGACCAGGAAGGACTTCTTTCCTCTCCTGTTACTACATGTATCAGGGCTTTTTTTTTTTTGGCCTTCCTCAAGCATTGGGTGTTGGCTACAGCCAAAGCTGGGGATTTTGACTGGAGCATGTCAGTGCTCCTGCTGGGACTAAAACCCAGAGGTTCCTAGCTAGAGGTTCTTGCCTTTCTACTCAGGGTCAGACTGATTACCACATTTAAGAGAAAGAAGGAATTTCACCCACAGTCATATTGGTACATACTGGGTGCCTCATGAATGTGCCTTAGATACTGCACATTAAGTTTAGTACCTCTAATATGAGGTACTACATAAAGTCACATTAGCCTGTGCTAAAGCGCAGTAGCAAAGGTGACTGGGTTTTTTGTGACACTTAATGCACAGTAGACTAATTCTACTGTGCATTAGCACAATTTTGGCCATGACTCACTAATACACAGTAGAATAGTCCACTGTGCATTAAAGTATCTCATGTAGACATGTCCATTGTGGGGCGTTTTGCCTTCCTCTGTAGTGGAGAGCATGGCCCTCCCTTCTGGTATCTCTTGAGTGTACATTAACCACCTTTGCAGCAGCAAGACATTTGCCATTGTTGTTCCCCTCCTTTACCTGTGGCAGGTAAGGGCACTATGCCTTGCAGTTGTGTGATAGGGTTGACCATGTAGTTTCATTAATAGGTCAGACAAGGATTTGTATGGGATGGTTTGGATAGAGGCGATCCTAACTCAGGCAGGAGACTGGACTAGATGACCTCCAGAGGTCCCTTCCAAACCCAGCTTTTCTATGATTCTATGCTATAGACAGTTGTTAGTGCCTTTGGAGAAACTGCTCTGAATAGACTTCTACCACTCACATAATTATCACTTTACAGCAGATTCCATCTAAGGATGTCAAAGTGCTTCACAGACATTAGCTGATTAAAAGTCTCACAAAAACTCAATTAGCTAAGCAGAGTAAGTATTAAGACCATCTTATCACCTGCAAATGTGTTGGTAGACACACTCTGGAAGATTGCCATATGTGCATGTATGTATGTATGT